AAGCGTTTTCTTTATTTTACTCCTCATGACGCTAGAATGCTAGAAAATTTTCTTCACATTCCAAGTGGGTGTCAGCATTTCTCACAGCCTTAGTCATGCATTTCTAGAACGTTTGAGACATCTTACCCATTATTCATCAAATGCAAAGTTTCTTCCTTGTTTTCCTCTACGACTGCGTCGACCTTTTCTCGACATTTCTCACATGAATTTTTCTGTAAGCCGATTAGTAAAAAAGTTTATTACTAATAAAATCATGTGCTTGGGCTTGTTTGCCACTGTTGACTATCTTCTAAACTTCTTCCTTGACCTTTGTATTCGTCGTAAATACGAGAAATAGCTGATTATCCTGTTTTCCGCGTTTTTCGTTGTATTTTAAGGAGAAAACAGCTTTTTGCATTATAGGTTAACTGCTGATTCACTTTATAAGTCTTCAGTCACTCCCATTTTCCTCGACACTTGGACTAATCGCTTGTGACAATATGGTTTTCTCACCTTCTAGCACTGTTTCAGGTTTGTGTACATTCATTTTTATTTTTTTCTGATTTTTTTCACTTATACTGTTGCGGGAAAGAAAGTAAAAAAATAAAATTTGATCAAGCATCGTACCCGGCAGTTTTAAAAATTAGGAGATAGAAGACAAAAACTAGGGCAGTGTAAATTTTGCGTTGTTGAAAATATCATCTTTTGTTAACGACATTGCAAAATGTGGAAAATCCTGATTTTACAGATTGCATACCTAAAAATCCACTTCTCATCGAAATTTCTATGCCTAAGGAGCTCAGAATTTATCGAAATTTTTATATACAAGTCATTTTGGTAATTTGTGACCGGTCACGTACCGCTAAGTCAAAGAACGCCGTGCTATCAGCACATGATGGCACCCCGGCGCATTAACTTTCCGTTCAAGAACTTCGATTTTTTGAAGTCAATGTTTCACCCCAAAAAATTTTGGTTTTTCACCAGAAGCGAAAATGAGCTATTGAAATTAGAAAAATCGTCTAATCAGCATTATTTCAGCCACCCTAAGCCCGCTCCGAAAATTTTCGGGTATCCTTCGCAAGTCCTCAATTACACCACCTGCTTCACCCACGTCGTCACCTCCAGGTTCACCATCGTGAGTCCTTTAATAGAGTGCAAAGACACACAAAAATGTAAAAAATTTATTTTTCAGCTGGTGCCTATGGCTTGTATCTGCCCTTCAAGGTCATGTTTTTAATGGCGAAGAACGACAAAAGCTCGCCTATGATATCGAACAAATGAGCGAAGTTGAGCAAGACATTTTTATCGAGTTCCTTAAGGTTTGTCAGGAAATTTTTAGTAATTTTCCCTATAAATTTCACATTTTAAGACAGGAGTAGCTCCCTCGACATTGGAAAACAACGCTTGCAAACAATTTGTCTGTAATACGACTGACCTTTGCAACGCACTAATCTGTAGGGAACCCCAGGTAAAATTTTTTGCAAAAATTTTTAAAATTGCTACGAGCTAGATAACAATTAAATTGTTATTAATTGATGTCAGCCGTATATGAAAAAATGCCATAGACACGAAGACTAGTAATAATGATAAGGGTATTAAAAGGCATTTGTCAATATCTTCTTCTTCTCAAAAAAAA